AATAAAATAATAATATTAGAGTTTATAATATAATTATAATATTATTTGTTACAATATTACTATTATATTATATTATATTACGAGTCTGAATTTTATATTGAAAAAATTGTAAATTTTAAATTTCATTAGGGATATTATGGGTATTATGAAAATTTTATTAATTGTACTATGATGATTCTCGCAGAATTTAAAAGTTAAAGTTGTCTTTAAGCTACTTTTGATTTTGACTGTAGATTCTTAAAAAATTCTTCAAAAACCACTTTTGAAGAGATTTACTAAACACTAAAATCAGCTTCTGTTATAGGTAGAAGTTGATTATGGGAGGGAAAAACAATACCAAACTAAGTCATAGTATATGAGAAAATTAACATTTGATTATTATTAGTTAAAATGTTTACTATTTCACATAATTATTGTAATTTTTATATTTTTTAATTATTTAAAAATTTTACTTCTATAACTTTTAAAGTTTTATAATTAAAAAAATAAAATTTATATTTTAAATAGTATTATGCATTAAAATTTATATTTTACTTCTTTGAATTTAAATAATATTTTAAATAGTTGTAAATAGTATTATACATTAAAAAATAAAATTTAAATAGTATTATACATTATATTATATTTTTTAATGCCACGTAAAAAAGAAATTGGAGATTGACTTATGTACTGTCTGTTAAAAAGGCTCTACCGAAAATCTCCAACGCGCCCCTTCAAAAAAAGAAAAACAAAAGAAATCTGCGGCGCGCTCTAGTTTAATAGTATGTTTACCTACACGTAATCAGAATGAGTATAAATCGGAGTGGACATGATTCAGAGTTGGTAAGATTCGGAGTGAAGAATCGGAGTCAGAATAAGCTGTTTACTTAGTGATAGGATTCGGAATCAGACTCATTCTAAATCTCATTTATACGTTTACTTACACCCAGAATCAGAATGAAAAAGTGTAAAAGCACTAATATACCCTTTAAATCAATTTGATATTTTCAATTTAAAAAATATAGTGTACTTATTATATTAAAATTAATCATAATTAAAATATTTTGTGTAATAATTGGGTACTGAAATAATAAATATAAATTGTACAACTATTTAAAATATAAAAATAAATTTTAAATAAAATAAATAAAAATAAAAAATAATGTTAATAAATAAAATAAAAGTACATATTTATTATATTAAAGTTAACAATAATTATGTTAATATTATAATATTAGGTAAATAAAATAATAAATATATGTTACATTTATTATTTTTTAAATTTTATTTTTAATTGTGTATTTATAAGTAAAATAATGCTATAATAGTAAATTAATATTAATATTAAGAATGAGAGTCTCAATATCAAAGAAGGGCATGAGAATGTCAATCCTATTCCTTAATCCTATATTTGAGTGGAGCTCACCAATCTCACTCTCATTTTAGGATAAAAAAAAGTAAGTAACCCGTTAACTTCGCTGATTCGAGTTTGTAATTCGAGTAAATATGTGATTTTATGAGAGAGCTTTTTACTGTAGTAAAAAAGTTAGATGTGACTGTTTCTGAAAACTTTTTACTGTAGTAAAACTCAAATTTTAAACTCGAATCGACGAAATAAACAAGACCATAAAATTGACTTTCATTCTCTATTCTCATTCTTCAATCCTGATAAGTAAATGTGTCTAAAGTTCCTTACAATCGGGCTACATGGACCTCATGATCATGCACGCTCCTAAAAAGAGAGTGGGAAAGGACGCACAGTCTAGAACCTAAACCAGCCGCAGACGCACACTGAGGGAACAAATCTGGGACAATATCTCAAAATCTGAAGTAAAAAAAAAAAAAATTGAAGAAATACAAACAGAAATAAAAAAGAAAAAGAGAGAGAAACAGACGTAATTGGGTAATTGCACCGAAACAAGAATGACGGGCACGACGCGGCTTCCTTAAAAATGGACGCGTTCCAGAAACAGACGGAACGCGTGTCTACTTCCAGTGGCTGGGCCCACAAAAACTCTCTCGCACTTCACGAACGGTCGGTCGGTCTCATTTACTACGGGTGCGTTTGGTGAATGATTCTGAATTTTAGTTTAGAATTATAATTCTAAATTTTAGATCTCATTTATTTTTGTCTCATTCACTTCGCTGATTCGAGTTTAAAATTTGAGTTTAGATATAATTTTATGTGAGAGCTTTTTACTGTAGTAAAAAAGTTAGATGTGATTATTTGTGAAAACTTTTTACTGTAAAAAAACTCGAATTCTAAACTCGAATCAACGAAGTGAACGAGGCTTATTGATTTGAATTTTCAATTTTAGAGCTCGTTCAGTTCGCTAATTTGAGTTTTTAATTCGAATTGAGATGTGATGTTATGTGAGAATTTTTTACTATAGTAAAAAAATTAGATGTGACTATTTCTTAGAACAAAGTGAACGAGGTCAGAATTTTAATTCTGAATTTTAATTCAAAATTAGTGTTTGTTTACAATAATTTTAAATTATGATTTATAATCCGTGTTTAATTTAGATGATTCTAAATCATAATTCTGAATCTGATGTAAACTAACTCAAATTATGATTTTAAAACTACTCCCTCTTAATTCAAAGTGATTTAAACTCTTAATTCTAAATCATAATTTTAAAATTATAATTTAAACCTAAAATTATAAATTCTAATTCTAAAATAATAATTAAAATTACCTTAATTTAAACTATCATACCAAACAAACCCTTCTTTATTCTCAAGGAGCGATTCAAATGGGCTAGAGAGAGAAAGATAGATAGAGAAGGGGAGATAGTGACGTGGCGGAGATTACTCTTAGTTGTTGGAATTGGTCGTCAGCTAATCCATTATGGATGGCGGCTAGGCCCAGTTTTTATGTGGGAGCGTCTCTTCACGCTCCTTTGGTAATCATTGTTTTGCCAAAACAAAAGTATGTGGCTTTTTGTAGATTTTTTTCAATTAAGTTTTATTCAAAAGACATTTTACTGTAGATGGCCTTAATGTAGGATTCCATGGGCCATTAATCTATTTATATTTTACAGGTTGAAATACTATATAAAAATATTGTTTTATATTGAACTCTAGTGACTTTAATGGTCTTTATGATTTGAACACTATAAATTGCGTAGAAATTTTTTGTATTTAATATATGCACATTTTTAAAAAATTGATAAGTACTAAATTTTAATTTGAAGTTTCATTAATAAGATTAAAATTGTCTCTATTTTATAAATAACTTAATAATCTTGATCTTTGTAAAAAAAAAATAGCAATTCACTTGATTAGCAAAAACGAAAAAAGAAAAAAAAAAGAAGCTATTCACCCCAACATTCTCAATCTATGATTTTTTTTTTTTGTTAAAATAACAAATACACGAGGAGTTACATATAAGTCATAAGATTTGTTTAGTAAATATATTTAAAATGTGATGGTTCAAATTTTTTTTAATTTAAAATAGAAAGTTTGAGAATTTGGTTTAACTCTAAACCGTTAAAAGAAGGGAGGTAAACCAGATTTTTGAATGGTTTAAACTAAATCTAAAAACATTTGCCAAACATTTGGTTCAAAGTCAAGACTCCAAACCAAATTAAGTTGGGCAAAATCTTTGGCTAAGGGAGCAATTGTGGTGCACACACTTGGCAAGGAGCGTGGAATATATGCACAATGAAAGCCGTAATAACGGCGGATGGGCCATAAGCCGGCACACAATCAAAGCCTTCGCCGATTGTCTAGAAATTGCCGCGTGCCACGTAACCTCCTTAGTCCCTTTAAAAAATAAATAAAAATAAAAAACTTATTTATTTTATACTCTCACTACTCTCTCCACGTACAAAAGACACGACCCCCCTCTTTCTCACTCTCTCTCTCTCTCTCTCTCTTAATGCTTTGGGCGGCGGCCTCTCTGGCTCTTTCTCACTCTCTCTCTCTCTCTCTCTCTCTCTCTCTTAATGCTTTGGGCGGCGGCCTCTCTGGCCCAGTCAAACTCCTCGCTGACCGCCCCCAACACCAAACAAATAATAATTTTTAAAAATCCCATCAATATTAGAAAAAAAAAATTTGAAGCCCCCTCACTTCTCCTATAAAATGAGCACACCCCGTCATTCTTTCCGAGCACACAATCACAACAACACAAAGAAAAAGAAAAAAACAGAGAAAGAGGAAAAGCGAAAAATGGCTATAAAGGACAGGATCGGAGTGAAGAAGAACCACATCAACAAAGGGAATGTTTCCGACGGCAAAGAGGTGCATTACAGGGGTGTGAGGAAGAGGCCGTGGGGCCGCTACGCCGCCGAGATCCGTGACCCCAGCAAGAAGAGCCGCGTGTGGCTCGGCACCTTCGACACCGCTGAGGAGGCTGCCAGGGCCTACGACGCCGCCGCCAGGGAGTTCCGCGGCGCCAAGGCCAAGACCAACTTCCCCATCCTCCCCTGCGCCGGCACCACCGCCACCGAACCGCCCTCCGAAGCCCGCAGCCCCAGCCAGAGCAGCACCGTCGAGTCCTCCGGCAACGGCTTCCCGGCGCGTGAGCCCGCGCGCCACCTCGGCGGCGGGCTTTTCCCTTTCCTCCACCAGCAGACGGATTCTCTACCCCTGCCGCCGCATCATCTCGTGGCGGCGTACGGGGGGTTGGTCCCTACGCGCCCCGTGCTGTTCTTCGACGCGCTCAGTAGACCGGAGTTTATGACGCCGGTCTACCCGGTCCGGTTCGATCCGGTGGCGGTGGAGTTCGGATCGGGAGGAAAAGCTGGTAGTGGTGGGGCCCAGAGCGAGTCGGACTCGTCATCCGTGGTCGAAGGGCAGCCTGGGAAAGTTGTACTTGATCTTGATCTCAACCTTGCTCCTCCTGGGGAGGCATAATTTTCTCACTCTTAACAATTTTTGTAATAACTTTACTCACCAGCCATCGGAGGCTTTTTTATTTAATTTTTTTTTTTTATCCCTTTGATTAGTTTTGTAAATTAAATTCTGTACCCTTGAAGAAGTTTTAAGAGGTAGCTCAGAAGAGCAAGTGGTGGAGCTTTTAATGCTTTCTCCTTATAGATGTAAATTTAATTCAGATTTCTTTTCCTTTTAATGGATAACAAAGCAAATTCTAATGATGCCTTTTGCCTCTTTTATCTTTGTTGCTTGATTTTTTTTCTATTTCTTGCAAATCATCAATAATATTATTTTCAATGGGAAAATAGAATGACTAACGCAAGTAAGGAAAAGGTTCTGGCCAACAGAAAGTGGATAAAAAACGGTGGGAGTCGAACAACCTTTTTATTGCCTTTTACTTTTTTACCCTTTACTTCTTTTTTTTTTGGCTTTTTTAATATATATATATATATATGGAGAAATTTATTTTAGCAGTTTCCGCTATATCAAAATTAAAATTTAATATTACTTATTTTTAAAAATTTTATGTTGATATCTCAATTTTTTTTAAAATTTTCTTTTAATATCTTGAAGTTATTTTTTAAGGATACTAAAATACAAAATTACCATAGACTGTTGACCAGAATTTAAAAAAAAAAGATTTTAAATGAGGTTCTTAAAACACAACAAAATCATGTTATTAACACAAGCACTGAAAGAAAAGAAAAAAAACAAACAAACAAAAAAGAAACGGTGAAAAAAGAAAAAAAAAACAAAAACAAAAAGTTCAAAAGAGAGCATCAGCGTTTATTTTACACTAATTGAAAAAATTTAAAAATGAAAAAATAAACCTCAAAGTTGAAAAATTAACCTCATTTTTACACTAATTCTAAACCAAACAGAATATTAAAGCAAAAATCTATACTCATAACGTCCGAAAAAATCCTGATTAATAGATGAAAATTTATAATAAGGTTAATTTTTTTTTTTCCTCAAAACTAGCTCTGAGGTATCGAATTTTTGTTTTTAAATGTCGAGATACCAACGTAAAATTTTCAATAATTAAAATTAAAATTTAAAATTTTAATAATAACAAAAAGTACTAAAACAAAATTTTCCCAATATATTCGTTTCTTAGTAGAGCTGAAAGGGTCAATTAAAACACCACCGTTAAGACAGACGGTGGAACCGGTAGAGAGCCATGGGGGTTGAAAGCGTGTGAAATGGGGAGAGAGATGTAAGAGGAAAGAAACAGAAGGAAAAAATAATAAAACAAAAGAACTCTTACTTTAAGGAAAACATTTTTCTTGGATGATATCTAAATCCCCATTTTGGATTGTCGTTTTTGTCAATTGAGCTAGTGGAAGTAGAGAAGATCCTTAATCTAATTGTTAGAAAATAGAATGAGCTTGACATCTATCAACCTTATCTCATATCAAAATTAAAAAAAAAAAAAAAAATTGGCTTCATTGATCAAAACTAACACAATGCTATGAAGATGATTTAAGTCTTGGTTAATAGAACACTGTGCTCTTAGCAAATATGTGGTTGACTGTTCAAATGTTTATGACTAATTATTTCATAAATTCCTTTATAATTTTCTCAAAATCCCTTTTAAATTTCTAAAATAAATTTCCTTCCAAGTTTACAATTATTTTATTTTTACATAGTTAATGGTAAATTTATATAAGTAGTATTTGGTAGACCTTTAATATTTATTTAAATTATAGTAGATTAGATTAGAAAAACATACAAAATAAATAATTTCTTATAATATAACGATTGAAAAGTAGATGAAACGATAATTCATTTTTTCTAATCATGTCATAATAACTTAATGAAAATAAAAAATGAGGCGGTGTAGAAGAACATGTGGCACATGGCAGAGCAACTAATTATGTGGGCTAGGACTGACAATATGAGTCACGACACGACAACACGACTTGAAAACGATACCGGTTTAGGGTTGAGAAAAAAGATGTTCAGGTCAGAATTGGGTTGACCTGAAACTGACACGAAAAACACATGTCAATTTCGGGTTGAACTCGTCTAATCCAAACACGACACGAAACTCGTAAAAAACTAAAAAATACATATATTTTTCAATACATAATTTTGATTTTATTATGAACTTGTGATATCATGATAGTTATACTTAAAATCTTATATTATTATTTGCTTAATTTCAATGGATGTTATTGTATTTTAGTATGTGATAAATTTTAAGTTATTTCTAATATGTAAAAAACTAAATAAAAGTATACAATTTTCGTGTCAATTTCAGATTCACATGTCAATTTCGTGTCATGGGTCATTTTCGTGTCGTGTCATGTCAACCAGTAAAGTGGTCGTGTTGCGGTTTTTAAAAAATTTCGTGTCACGGGTCATGTTCGGGTTAACTATAAATTTAAAAAGAAACGATCAAAACACGACACATGACACGAATTGTCACCCCTAATGTGGGCCCGCGGCAGTAGAATTCTATTGTTAATGGAAATAATTAGAGTTCATTTGGTAGATGGATCCATAATCATGATTCTGGATTCTAGTTCAGAATCAATGTTTATTTACAGTGATTCTGAATCATAATTCAGAATTAGTGTTTGATTTGGATGATTCTGAATCATGATTCAGAATCTGATGTGATATTTTAAACCAAAATCACACATGATTCTAAAACCACCCTCCTCTTGATTCAAACCCCTGATTTTGAATCATAGTTTCAGAATCATGATTTGAATCCAAAATCATGAATCATGATTTTGGCTCTAGAATCATGAATCATGGTTATGATTCTAGAATCATGATTAGAATCACCATGATTTGAATATTCATACCAAACAAACCCTTTCTTTCAAACCTTAATATTAAGCTTGATAAAACAATCCACAATTACAAAACCTTTTTGTTTTTCTATAAATAAATAAACTGATTAGCAAAAAAAATTAAGAGAACGTTTGGTTCATGCATTCAGAATAATTTTTAAGTAACGTGTATTTTTTATGAGAAAAAATACTATAACGAGTAACAAATTATGATCTAAATTATAACACAAATTTTTATTCCAAGCGCATCCTAAATAACTTTTCCGTAGAACCTGCAATTAAATAGCTTTTTTGCTAATCCTGCAATTAAATAGCTTTAAAAACACAAAACTCTACGCGTACAAATTTGTTTACCTCGGTACAGGGCGTTTGAAACTTTCGTACATTGTACCACAATACAATAGTAGCAGTGGACGGCACGTGTTAGCTTCTGCTCACGCCGTCCAACAAAATCATTTTAAATTAACTTCTAATTAGCTAAAAGATTTATTAAATAAAAGAAGGATTAGTTTATTTACTAAAAAATGGATTAGTTTAATCAAAACTTAGAGCCGTTTGGTTCATAGATTAAAACTATGAGATTAGAATTATTTTTTATTTACGTATATTTTTTATAAAAAAAAATACTATAATAAATTATGAATTATGATTCAAATTAAAGAATTAATCCTCAAACTAAACAGACTCTTAAACCGTTCTCCTTTGGAATTAGTAGAAAGGCAAGAATAGAGAAGCGTGGAGGAGGAGGATTAGAGAAGACAATCGTGGGGTCCACGTGATAGAGAAATAAAGAGCGAACAAACAAATTATTTTTTTTCACATTTTTATAAAAAAATTAAATATTTTCACATTAGCTAAGATTTATTAAAATAAAAGAAGGATTAGTTTATTTACTAAAAAATGGATTAGTTTAATCAAAACTTAAACCTTTCTTCTTGGGAATTAGTAGAAAGCCGAGACTAGACGAAGCATGGTCGTGGAGGAGGATTGGAGAAGACAATCGTGGGGTCCACATGATGGAGAATTAAAGAGCGAAAAACAAATTATTATTTTTCACAATATTATAAAAAAAATAAAATATTTTGTGGGACGCGTGAATCCCGTCGTTGCCGCTTTCGGTGGGGCCCGTGTTTGTGTCGGCTGAATCTGTGGAGAGGATTTCGCTTTCGCACCACGCTGTCCTCAATCCCAACCCCCTCTTTGCTCTCTCGTTCTATATGGATTAAAATTTATAGTAAAATCTCTCTTCATTAAATCCATATGTTAAGTACGTATATCAATATGTATTATTGTATTATTCGATGCATGATATTTGAACATGCATGGATACTTTTTATGCAGGCTTTGCCCCCATCACGCGCCACGCGCCATTAACTCCAATTTCGTTTAGAAATATTACATAATAGGCTCCGTTTACTTCGTTGATTCGAGTTTAGAATTCGAGTTTTTTTACAGTAAAAAGCTCTCACAAATAATCACATCTAACTTTTTTACTACAGTAAAAAACTCTCACATAAAATCACATCTCAACTCGAATTCTAAACTCAAATCAGCGAAGTGAACGAGACCTGAAGTAATAATAAAATATCTCTAATATTCTGAAAAATTATGTTGAAATTTCTTTTTAAGAATTTGGATGGAAAGTATGTTATTAAAAGGTCATTTTTACCTTACTTTTTATCAAAAGGATGGACTTTTGCGTAAAAGAAATGATAATAATTAGAGGGGCGCAAATTCTAAAGAGCAATTTTCTTTTCACTAAATAAGAAGCGAACAATTGTGTTTTTATATTTCCAAGTCAACAATTAGCAATCAACTAACGCCTCGTTCATTTCACCAATTTGAGTTTTCAGTTTTAGGTTTCTACAGTAAAAAATTTTTAAAAAATGTCACATCTAACTTTTTCTGCTACAGTAAAAAGCTCTCATAAAATGTCACATCTCAGCTTGAATTGAAAACTCGAATCTGTGAAGTGAACGAGGCCTAAGATTACAGATGGAACGGAATGAAACGTGATCTATTCATCAACTGGTATCTAGGAAGTCCAAATTCATTACATATCAAGTCACATTCGGCGGGTTAATAAGAGGGATAATTCTTACTTCATTAATTGCGAATAATGGTAATCGACCTCTTGGTGCTAATAAAATGCACGATGAGTGAGAATCAATCCACTTGTAAGCTTGAATGAAACACTTTAAAGGAATGGTGTGTACAAGATTCCACAAGCAGGCATTTAAAGAGGTACAACACATAGTTCTTTAAAAGATTCTTTACAATCAACATATTAATCGATCGATGAGAAACGCATAGCACTAAAGTCTATACAAAAAAGTCATCAAGAAACAAATCTAGAGGACCAAAAACACAATCAAGCAAAAGACAAAGACAAGTCGGGATAAACCACAATTATTATA